AATCTGCTTTATAAATTAATTTTAAAAGGATTTAAGGAAGACTTAGCACTCAAAAGGTTACGCTTTCTTATAACGACAACTTACATTAGATAGGAGCGGCGGAATGACTAAAATCACTTTGTACTGAATTCTATCCCATAAGCTTTGAGAGCTGGCGGTCATCAATTCTTTTTAGTGCTGGAATTACAGCCTCTTGTTGAGAAATGCTAACTGAACAAATTGAGAAAAAGCATCGTAAATTTTTACAGAAGGTTGTACACTAGATAGATGATTTTCTTGATTAGAAAAAATGTCAAACTAATGTTTTCTTATGCATTTCCCAACATATCTAGAAGTTGTCAAAGAAAAATGATTTATCGAAAATGATTATCCAAAGAAGTTTTCAAATTTTTTTTTCAGATGCAGATACAAATTGCAAATTCCACTCGTGCAGAACAGGTCGCTGCGCTACGTCACCTGAATTATGCGATGACGTCAATGAAGATCGTCTTAAAATCGATGTAAAAAATGCTGTATTCTGTAAGAAGATCTTTATTGTACATCGTTATTGTGGAAGCTTATTGTCTTTTATCACCATGTATTTGAATTTTTCTTTCAAGTTTGATAACAATTGCGATCTGCGACTGCATCTTTCTTCTGTACTAAAAATTAACAACTTGGCATCAGCTAAGTTTTCCACACTTTACAGTTGTTTTTTCTTTTTACTTTGATGAATTCTGCCGAGAACACATCTTTTCTACACCAATTCAATGGTGCTGCAGCTTTAGAATTTCAAACATTGAATCTTTTCGGCAATGTTTAGTTGCTGTTTGTAATTTCGTGTTTGCTGGAAAAACTGTTGGGATAGTAATTTGTTAAAAATTAACTTTAGCAGAAAAACTATTTACTAAGGGTTAAGAGCAGAGAAGAAATTTAATACTAGTCAAAAAAGCTCGGAAACAACCAAAGTTTACTGATTTTTTGGTATTATTATTTTTTTTTACTTTAATCGTCCGCTATTTTTTTTTCTTCTTATTCCTCTATAATGCTTCAATTTTTGACTTTCATTTGCCTTGTTACACCGAAAGGGAAAAATTTTTCTTTCGTCCAAAACTCTGAGCTGATTTGGGCTTACTACTGTAATGTGTCCGTCTGAAGAATTCGATAGTGAAATAGTAAAGTTATTTTTTTATTTTAATTCATGTAGGGTTATTAACTTATCACTTTGTTATTTAGTAAGAAGTAAGCGTAGTGGGATTGGCAGCAATGACGCAAAAAGCTTCGCAAATCTTCGCCCAATTGTACCACAATTGATTCCACCGATTGTGCCTGTCGAAGAAGCAGCAATCAGAGCTGAA